TTGAGTTGCCCTGCGCTTGGAAACTAGTTATCTGGCAGCTCTCCAAGCGAGATAAGGTTCGTGTGGATAAACATTCCTCTGAAAGACTATTTGCTCAGCCTTGCTGACTGTGAATGAAAGGAATTCACAGTCGTGTAAGTAAAAAAAGGTTTCGCTGGGACCAAGACTCTGCTTCTTGCTTTTTAAGGAAGCCGAGGTCAGAACAGATTTGGCCACCCTGGAAATAGCGAAGGCCCGGCCAGCGGTGCCTCTGCAAGCAAAAAAGGGGCTCCTCCTGAGCTCCGTTTTTGCTCGCAGAGGGTTGCAGGAGGCCGTCCCAGTTGAAATCTGAGCTTGGGAGCCCATTTTCTCTGGCAGAGCCCTCGGGCCACAGGCGCCCCCGAAACGAGTGTATGTCAAGCTGGCCACGCCCACCCCGGCCATGCCCACCCCAGCCCCCGAGGTCAGAGACAAACCTGATGAAATCGAGTTTGACACCCCTGCGCCATGCAAACTGTCCCCCTTTCCCGAAAGAAAACAGGATGCTCACCCAGTCCTTCCATTGCTTTTTTAAGTGCCTCTGCATCTTTGGAAGCATTGAATCCTGCGGAATCCTGAATCGTCCCTCTAGAACCAACCTGGAAGAAAAGAGACGGCACTCAATGACGTAGGATTCAAGAAACGCATCAAGCAAACAGGATTATAACACCAGCGCCGAATCACTTAACAACTGGGACAAGGAAGGCGGTGAAACGGGGCAAGTTCACTTAACACATTTCTCACTTCGCGACATAAATTCTGGGCTAAACTGAGTCAGTAAGTCAGGGACTAAGTGTGCTTTATTATTTTCTGCCTATAATACAGGAATCTCCCCATCCAGGCAGCCAATCCCATGGGAAAAAAATAGAGAAGGAACTTAGAGGAAGTCGGTTTTAGCCATTTTGTGGTTTTGCAGAGACTCCAGGCTAGATGCAAGCTTGATTCTTCCTCCCTGGTGGCTGGTAGTTTCCCAACGGGTATAGTGATTGTTGTGGCCAAAGTCGGCCAGCAGAGCTGGCGGCAGACTCTGACAGTGAGAAGGTTGGGGAGGAACATGGGCCAGTCCTGGAGTCTGGGGACGGCTCTGATAAGGGCTCTGTGTTGGAGGCAGGGAGGGGGCCAGAGCCGTCTGACAGTTATCAGCTGCCTTCAGAGTCTGACATCAGTGAAGCAGAAGAACAGCTGGAGCCTGTTCCCGGTGTGCGCATGCGGAGAGTTGCCAGATGAAGGGACAGCTCTGCTG